ATTTTAGTGCAAATAGACAAACAATCGTAATTATCTCGAAAACTAATCGAGATAGAAACATCATGCTTACTCATTTTATAGAAAATACATTCCTCTACACTTTTTGAAGAATCAAAAATTTTCGAAAATCGCTTAATTTTCGAAATATTTCAATTTTTCAAAATTTTTTTTTCAATTTTTTCAAATAGTTCAATTTTTGATAACTAATTTTTACGAAACCATGAATTTATTCCATTTGTGTCGTTTCCACCCTGTATAATGCACCTACAATGGATGCGCAATAAACGCCTTCCATTCGCCGGACAAAACTACCGCCATAATTTCGTTATGGGGACGCAATAAATTAATAAAATCACAGGTCCCTTTTTTTCCTCTCTCTTCTCTCCGGTTTTTGGTGTTGTGTATAGAAAAGAATTTTCTACCTAGAGGTAGGCAAAAGGAAACCGAAAGGAAACGGGACCCGTTTTCGGCATTTCTTCATTTTTGGGTTCTTTTAGAATCCGACGAGGGTTCCGAGAAATCGCCTCACGCATTTCGAATTTTGTGACCCACCCGAAGGTTTCTACACGATGTATACTCTTATTTGATACCAGCGGCGGCGCTAAAGGGTTTTTTCTTCGAGTTATACAGGGTGTTAAAGTTTCTTTATTACTAGATAAAAGTGTATGTAGGAAATGAAAAATACAGGTCAATATGTTTTATTTTTTACTCGAAAACGGCGGCCCGTACGAAAAAAATACAAGAGGGTTTTTTTATCGCAAATTGAAGGAAGAATTTATTAATTATTGAGTTTTCAATAAAAATGCCTCAGGGGCGTACCAATATTATTTTTTTCTTTAAAAAAATGCTATTAGTACCCGTATGCGCGACTATGATGAAGATAAATTTTTTTAATTTTATGCCAAAAAATGCGTAATAGTTGCCTTTCAAAACCCATCAAATTTTATTTGAATATCTTGTCTGGTTCCAAAGAAATAAATAAAAAATCGCCCCCTGAAGTTTGTCAGACTTATTAATTAAGTTCAAACCCCGTACGGACGTCACTGGTAAAAATTAAAAAAAAATCTTTCGTCTCAAAAAGTGCTTCTTAATAATTAAAAAGCGCGTAGAAAATTTCATAAAAATATTCGGAGTCATAAGAGAATTATGATAGAAAAGTTATTTTTTTCCAAAATTTTAACACCCTTTAGCTCGAAAACTAAGAGATTTAGAAGATATATTAATATAAACTTTTCTACTTAAAATCACCCAAATATTCACATCCTGAAGTATTTTATAATAATTTTCTCTTGCACCTTCTAATTTCATCAATTTAATACTTTTTTTAATCGTTTAATCGCTCCAAATTTGTACCAACTTTTTCGAAATATACCCAAACTTCTCCAACAACTTCTAATATTCTACCATTTTCAATTTCTAAACGGTACCAAAAAAGAGTACCAAATTTCGCCTACATACCTGTCCCCCCCGATCCCACCCTGCCTCTCTCTCTCTCTCTCTCTCATTCACTCGCCAAACAAAACAAAAAAGAAAAAAAAACCAACCCAAAAGAATTCTCTTTTTACCTGAATTTCCGATCGTCTTCGCCCCGAACTTCTCCAACCTCTCCACGTCCGATCGCTCGGATCTCCTCTCTCTACCCCACCCGCTCCCCGACCGCCTCGTCCCGTCCTTTTCCTTCTCTCGCTCCTTTCTTTGACACTTGACAAGTTGCTTTTTGAGATTTCAGTCTAGTAGGCCTAGCGGAGCCGGTCGCGACCGGCCCCGTTGCCACATCTTCTCGCTATTTCCCTCGAACTTACTCTTTTTTTCTTCGACCAATGCTCTAATTCCAAAATAGTAGCCCACTGAATTCTCAGCAGGAGACTAGAGAAGAGCGAGGATTGTGTAATAAATAAGTTAAACGATAATATTACCGAGAATTTGTGTTCGTTTTGTTATGTTATTAGAGCGGGATTTGTTTTTTGTAGAATAGCGAGTTTATTTCTATATAGAGAGATTATTTGTGGTGTTAGTGGAAAAGCGGCAACGTCGCCTCCCGGTTGGTTCTCTCCTGCGAGAGCGGACTTAAAGCCGAACGAGGCGTTGTCGAGGATTTTTTTAAAGGGGATAGACGAGAGCGAGAGAGCGCAGGATATACGAAATTTTACGATCGTATTGTATTTATTTATCGGTTGTTAGAGGGAAATGAACTGTCCGGAGAAAAATAAACTCGCTCGTTCGAGCGTTAACCGACATATTATATGTATTATTTTTTTTATTTATTTTTTTATTTTTTTCAAACGTTTATTAACAATTTTTCTCCACCCGCGATTCGGGGGAGTTTTCGGTTTTTTTACTCTAATATACAGGGTGTTTATTAATTGTATGTCGATACTTCAGGATGTGTATGTTTGGATGATTTTAAGAAGAAAAGTTTATATCAATGTATGTCCTAAACCTCTTAGTTTTCGAGCTACAGGGTGTTAAAATGTTAGAAAAAAAATGGGAAAAAATGGTTTTGGTTTTTATTTTTTTACGCGAAAATGGTGCGTCGTACGAAAATAAGTCTTATGGACGAATTTGCTACAAAATAAATGAGGATTTTAAAAATAATTTTAGTTTTTAGAAAAACCAGTGATGTACCATTTTTTTTTCAAACATATTCAGTTCAAACCCCGTACGGACGAGACTGGTGAAAATTTTAAAAAATCTTACGTCTCAAAAAATGCTCCTTAATAATTAAAAAGTGTATACAAAATTTTATAAAAATATCTGGAGTAATAAGAAAATTATGATAAAAAACTTATTTTTTTTAACACCCTGCAGCTCGAAAACTCAAAGGTTTAGGACATACATTGATATAAACTTTTCTTCTTAAAATCATCCAAATATTCACATCCTGAAGTATCGCCACTCAATTAACACCCTATATACAGCGCTTTGCAATTTTTTTTACTTATTTGTTAATAATTATTAGGGTAAAAAGTTGGTTATAATATAGATGTGTAGCTGGGTTATAAGCGCTTGTAATTAGACTTGAATAAAGGGAATATTAGATGGGTTTTGATGGGAAATGGAACGGGGAAAACTGCTCTATACGGGGTGGAAAATCTATTGGATTATGTGAAATTCCTATGCAAATTTCAAACAGGTTCTTGAGGATGCTTAATGAAGAGGTTTAGTAAAAATATACAGGGTGTTAATTAATGCATTGTGCTTATTTTAACGGGTGATTCTTGGGTCTAATTTTGAGTCGAAAAGTTGTAAAAAGAGGACATATCTTTATAAGAACTTTTCTACTCAAAATTAACTCAAGAATTAAAATTAGTACATTGCATTAATTAACACCCTGTGTAGAATTTTCTCGACTATACGCTATATTGCAATACTGGTTAAGAAACAATATCTTATATATTTTCTCAGCGTTCTCGCTTCCTTTACGCATATTTAATTCGTTGTTTTTATTGTGTAGGTTTATACCAGACATTGTTGTTTTTGTTGTAATAAAAAAAATAAGTTTACTCATAAATATTCAACGGGTCGCCGTGTGAGTAGGTTGCTTCAATTTTAAATAAACTGTATATAAATAAATATAGGACACAAAATGTTCATTAGGTATACAGCTGAATAAGTCTCTTAGATAATTCCATAATTATACACATAATGCAATTTTTTATTGGTGCAACAAAGACAACTCGCATTAGTCTCTTATAGAGGAAAAGGAAATGGAGATATTGCAGATCTTGCTATACAAAGTGCCTTATAAATTGATATTTTTATTATTATCAACTTTTGAGACACCCTGTATACTGCTTTTTCAATGGTCTTTCTTTGTTCAACTCTTTGCATCCATATTAGAACGTTTCAACTCGCTAAATAAACTAATTTGCTCCAATTAATTTATCTACTTAATCAATTACACTTCTTCCTCTTCGAATTCCTTATTATTTATACATCTTGATGGTTTGGGTGAGAAGAATCACCTTGTATATAGTATGGGCGGTGTTGCAAGATCAGCGTTTATAATCGGATTTTACGGGAAAGCTCCTTCCTTTCTACTGGAGAAGATTTCGCGGTAAATAAGCACAATTTCTATACCGTTTCGCGGTGATTGTTCGTGCATAATTGCGAAATAACAAAGTCGATCGGCGTTATTCGCACTTTTCTATCACTAATTATCGAGCGATATATAAAACGCGTCTCGATTTTAATGTTGTATACGCGAATAAGTGGGACTTTAAGGTGCGTTCGATGATACATAAGCAAAATTGACGTTAATGACGTTTCGTTTGACGGAAGTTTAATAGAGATGGGAATTGAATTTTTTGGTATATATACCACCTCTATAGAGGTGTAAGAGTGTTACAAAATAACCGTTATTTTTTACCATTGTTGGCCCAAATAGGGTTTGTCTCGGTGCATTTTGAATTCTTTTGATATCGATTTGAATAAAAAAGCGATGGAATAGTCTCGTTTTTTTTTCACATATATAAACGCAAGGTCGTTACGTAAGAGTGTCATGTTTCTGAAATGGCGGAAAATTGTATTTAATTATGTAAATGACATAAATACCACTCTAGGTTTTTGTCGGCGATTTTTAAATTACAGTTCTCGCGCAAAGCGTTTAATTTTTGCGTTTTATTTCAACTGACACGACCGGACTTTTGGATCAGGCAAAACGAAAACAGGATCCGGAAAAAAAAACATTATTTTGTATCATAAAAAAACATAAAAATTGCTATTTTATAAGTAGTATGATATGGTATATGTCAATTTTTAACATAATTTTGCCTATAGAATTGCTTTTTATGTAACATTTGAGTTAAATATTAACTTAGATGCGTCTAAAATTAACAGGCAGTTCCAGAATTGGTCCTTTAATTTTTTACTTGGCTTAAAATTTAACATTTCGCTTGTAGAATCACCATTAAAGCGCGTTTAAAACTAAACCAGAAATATTCTACCCGAATTAGTAGACCAACCGCGCATGCGTAGAGGTTAAACAAAACATCGTATTAATAAAAAACTATTTATTAAACAATCTCAATATTTACATTAACATTATTTCCACCTACACTAATTGTATCAGCTTAAATTCAACCAAGAATCATAAAGAAATCGCAAGATTCTGTACCAACAAATCATATTCAAAACAACTCCTTCACCCCATAACTCTGTATAACAGCCATAATCTGCAACCTAACCTCCAAATTCACATCATCTGGCAGCTTCCTGAGGAACGGGGCCAGCGACAGCAGGAACTTCTTGTTCCCCATGGGATCGTCGGCTTTCTCCTCCTCCTGCTGCTTGGCCAGTTTCTCCAGTACTTTGGTCAATTTATCCCCGTCTGGATCGCCTGGATCGGAGCTTCTATTAACGCCGGAATTCGATTGGAGCTGGATGAACTGGACCGGCTGGAGCGTTCCGAAACCAGCCAGAGGCGCTATGGGGGTCACAGAAGTCGTTTGATGGACTTTTACCGGTTTCGATGGGGTTCCGTCCTCTTCGGAATCGTTCGTTTCGTCGATGTAGATGATGTTCGAGGCGTTTCTGGAGATGATGCAATTGCAGGTAGGTGAAATAAAATTTAGATGATACTTACTTTCCACCCTCCATTTCCATGTCTTCTTTCGAATCGCCGGAGCTCCTGCAAACGAGGAAATTGTGATGATTTGTGACAGGTTTCGGGGTGAAGAAGAATGAGGTTGACAGGTGACAGGTTTGACGAGGAAATGGTGATAATTACGGTCGTGTATTAACAGGTCAGGGGAGCAACACTTTCGCTAGCACAAAAAATACAGCGGTTTCCAGACCTGTATGATGTGTAAGACCGCGGTAATAAATAGAAAGATTGACAGGTTTGTTTTGTTCGAATTTATAATACCTGGAAGAGGGAGCGAACGGTTTCAAAAACTCCAAATGATCGTAGTGAATGTATTTCTTCTTTTTGCACGGCGCTCCTTGGATCTCCTCCTCTCTCTCCTTCCTCAATATCCTGTAGTAGTTGTCCTTGAGGTTTTTCCACTTCAATTGGATCTCTTTGACTGCAAACGAACGCGGAAAACGACACTAATTGTTTGATTATATTAGAAATTAAGATGTTTGTTTTTATCGATAACACAGAAACCAAAGAGAAAATGCAAAATTTTTATTCTTTCACAAACCGAAAGGACGGGGCGTCAATTTTGAGACACCCTGTATAATCTAAATGCAATCAAAAACGGAGCAACCTGTATTAATATGGCTGGAACAAACCTATAGTATTTATTTATACACTTTTCTTCATTCCAGATCGCTACATAGGTTATATTAGGCTGTAAGTGCGATAAATACAACTTCAATTAGACAATTTATAAAGTAGAAAGAGAGTGACTGATTTGTGTGATTGCAAACTTATCACTCTGACAACTAACAGCTGTCATTTTATCAATCTTTCTTTGTTCAACTCATAGAAACTCGACCATATTGCTTGTCTGAATCGAAGCAACCTGTATGTTTGTTTATTTACCGACGGTGTCTTTATCGCCGTCCCCGTAGGATTTCCAATGCCCGCCGCACAAATTCCTCGCCGCCGTCTCCCACGACCGCCTCCTGGAGTCCGCCTGTTGGGGCGCCTTGGAGTTGGAGGCGTAGATCGAAGGGTGCCGACGCACCTCTTCTATCAAGTCGGCCGTGGCGATTCTTCTCGCCGCCTCCGGCGGTTCATCGCCGCTCCCGATAGGAAGATTTGTAGCGCTCGACGACATCCTGTACTGGCTCGGGCTCCGCTCTCTCCTCGCTCGCCACTGACGTGGAGCTTCGATTCGAACGCTTGAATAGCGTTCGAGATTGGCCGGAGTTGACCGAATCGAACAGTGGCTGGATATTCGCTGAGTAAGAGGCAGCGGATTGTTTGCACCGTTTAGATGTGTAGTAATCAAGTTAACGTAGATTTTTCGATAGGAGCTTAGCTCATTCTGGAACTAATATGCGGGAAAAAACGGGAAAAAACTTACAAACAAATCTATGTTTAGTTATTAAACTGAAATAGATATACCGATTGCTTCAATTCCGATCGCAACATGGTCGTTTCTATGAGTTGAACAAAGAAAGATTAAAAAAAAATGACAGTTGTCAGAGTGAAAAGTTGCAATCACACAAATCAGTCACTCTTTCTTTATTCTTTATAATCTGTCTAATTGAAGTTGTCTTTATCGCACCTATAGCAAATATAACCTATGTTGCAATCTGGAATGAAGCACAGTGTATAAATAAATACTACAAATTAATAATAAACTTAACTGGTGCGTTGTATTTATATAAATAATAAACATAAATTCGATAATAAACAAAGCGATTGGACGAGATGGGTTTCAATCGGAACGCATCTACTTTCATGTCAAATGTCAAACTAGTTTTAGTTTTTAAACAAAATGGCGGTTTGAATTTCGTTGTGTTGTTAATTTGATTATTTCGATGAATTTGAAGCGATTGTAGCAGTTTCGAAGGTATGTAGATTAATATTTCGTTTATTACTTTTTTATTTTTACCTTTTACAATTCACAATTTCGCTTATAGTGCATAATACACAACGTAATCGTAGGTGAAACGGTACAGTTACGCAATATGGAGCCGTATTGGCTATTAACGGTTTTCTAATTAATTAACGGATTTCGCCTTGCAGTATTTTTTTTTTAATTCGAATCGATTAATTAGCGGTAATTAGTCGCTAACGGGTCTTATTAGAACGCAGAAAAAAAGCTTCGAATCTAGCCGCCCATTTCTTTTCGAACCAATTAGAAAAATTTAATTGTTATTTTGTAGCATAAATCGCAACATTTCACGCCACTGACTTGCATTCTGCGACTCGTTCGAAACATTGCGACGTTGCCATTTTATTTATGAGTTTTAAAATTGATATTACTCGATTATTAGAGGTTATTCGTGCGTTTTTTATACGTATTTATAATAAACTAAGTGGATATTAACGATTTTTGTGAGAAATAAGTGGAATAAAGTGATTTTGTATAAAGCGCAGTAATGCGATTGGTCGATTCGGATCCGCGCGAACCGGCAACGCCGCCGAGCTGTCACCAACGTCACGTCATCGTATAATATAACAAACATGGCGTCGCGGTCGAGCGATAAGTGTCAGTTTCCACCGAATTTCGGCTAAAATCGACCGTTCGACGTTCGAAATGGACAGCAAAAAGAGCCCCGTCCGGCGCGCCAAACGCTCCGCCAAAGTGCTCGAAGAGAATTATTGGGATTGCAGCGTGTGCACGTTCCGCAACACCGCCGAGGCGTTCAAATGTCTGATGTGCGACGTTCGCAAGGGCACGTCGACGCGTAAGCCCCGCATCAACCCCCAATTGGTGGCCCAACAGGTGGCCCAACAATTTTTGCCTGCGACCAGCAACGGGGCCGCGAAGCAACAGCACCAGCAACAGCAGCAGCGCGACAGGAAGGACAAGAAGGCGCTGAAGAAGCGCCGGCATCCGCCTAGATTGAAGAACATCGATAGAAGTAGCGCCCAAACGAGGGAGGTGACCGTCAACAGCGTTACGGTGGTGATAACGGAGTATAAACCGATGGTGAAGAGCGCGGAGGCGGCGACGAGCGGGAGTTCGTCGGATTCCCAGTCGGAGTCTAGCATGGATGCGAGGTGAATTAGTTTTTTTTCTTTTTATATTTCTTCTGTTTTATAAAGATTTAAAAATACATACAGTGTGTGTGTGTGTGTGTGAAAGAGTGAATATTATGCAGGTTTATTATGATCTGCGTTTATTAGGGTGCAGTGACTTTTGTGTCGAGGACAATGACTCTTTGCTTTGAAGAGGAGAGTTGTGTGTGTGTGTATGCGTTTTGTAATTTATAATTTATTTGTACAAAATATAGAGTAATGTTTAACCCGATTATACGGGTGCGCGGTGATCGAATAATTAATTGTATTTTTGTAGGAAACTGGAGCTTTTGATCGTTTTAAAATGTCTAATTGTCGGGTACAAGTACAGATAAGTGCAACGTTTGCTAAATATGTAACCTAATGTGCAACAAAGACAACGTGCATTGTAGATACTTGTGAAGGAAAAAGTAAGAGTATTTATAAAAAGAAGTAAGGTAGACTGGGGTAAATGTATATATAGATTTCAAAAATGAGTAGTGACGAAGAAAGTGATTGGTAGAAGAAACTCAGTTTTATTCATATCAAAATATCAAGTTTATTCTCAATTACTTTATACATAAGAGTAGATTACTCAAGAGAGTGCCTACTTCCTCATTTTTATTGTTACAAAATGAAGTATATAATCCTAATTTTGAAATACCTATAAAGTGTATAAGGTATATAGACTGGGGCAAATCGGTTGTAAAATTTGAATAGTTCAAATTAAATCCTTAAATGTGGCTTTATTTTTTCTCTTATTTGAAATGCTGATACCACATTAAATTCACAACTTCCTAAACTAAAGAATCGAGGTATTAAAAAGTTTTTTTTTGAAAAAGGAAGAAAACGATTTTAAATATTTTTTAAAATGTTGACAATATGTTACATTTATCCCTTATTATTTGCCTCTATCTTTTACTTCAAAGTAAATGCCTTATTTTTTATAAGTATGTACTATTATTGTGTCATTGTCACTTCCTCATTCTAACCCACTGTTATTTTATTGATAGAAACAACTTATCTTTCTTTAATTCGTAGAAAGAAAGAAAGAGTAATATTGGATATTGTGGAATAACTATCTTATTCCATCCACTGTTGATTTATATCTCTCTCATTGTTCAACTGATTGAGTTGCAAACTTTGCACTTATCTGTAAGTATAACGAAAAAAAATCGGATTTATTCGATTATTAATCACAACTAATTTCGTGATTAGTAATACACGTTGGAATTCTCCGGTTTTTTTTCTTTGTGTGTGCGTGAATAACGAAACGCCCTGTATAATATTAGAGTGGTTAAAAACTCGTTTTCCATGCGTGAGACTGTTTAGAATATGTCGGGTAGGTAGAATTTTTTCGCCAGTGGGGGGGATTAGGTTGGGTAAAACCTGCAGCCTGTAATTTAACACAAAACTTGAGTTACCTCTACCTGCCTGCCTACAGGAAATTATATCGATAGAATTTATGAATAAATGTTGAAATAATTCATCTTTGCGAACCTGCGGTTTTTTTTTAATTATTTGTAATATAATGTAGGTAGAGAGTTGATGAGTAATTCGAGTGATAAGCTGAAATGCAAGTGTTCCAATACATTTTTATTAAATTCGAGCGTGTAATTGTATTATTAAAAACATTTTTGTTTTGTAAATACGACGAGGGTTTTAATTTTTAACATAAAAAAATAATTATCGAATTGCTTGTACTATTATTTATTGCATTAAAAAGTCTATTGTGTACATATATTAAGTCGCAAAAATTGATCACGCATTTTTATGATTTTGTTTGTGAATTATTAATTTTATATACTAATTTTTAATAGCATTTAATTGTGTTATATCAGAGACAACTAATATAATACTTGTTGTTTTATAAACTTAACGATTTCTCTTCTACTTCAAGAAATATAAACATATTTTGGATACATATATTTTAAATTTCCCGTTTTTTTTATAAAATTTAATTGTCTCTGGTTACATAAATAAGGTTGTGATATAAATTAGGCAACTTGTGTCATCTTAATAGAAATTTTATTTGAAGTGTTTTTAAGACTATTTGACGAAATTATTATTTTATCCGTACTTTTCTATATATGATTAGATAATTATAATTTGACAAAAACTAGCGAAAAAATATCACACCTTAAAATTTTCATTCCACGACGAATTAAATGTTGTAGTAAAATTCATTCGAATGAGATTACTGTTCAACTGCATTATTGCGGTGTATTATAGGTATATAACTAATTCCGTTATTATTGTGATAATTATTTTTGTAAGTTTCATTTGCTTGTATAAACGGTTAAATCACTGCCTAAATACAGAATTTATCATAAATATTTCCTAAAAAAAATGATCCACTGCCCGCGATCCTTTAAAGTTATTGATAAATTAATTAAATCGAAATTAAATAGTTTTTCTGGACATCTTGCGTTATATTAAAACTAAAGACTGGCGTGTATAAAGTGGCGTATAAAATCGCATCAAATGCATTTAGATAGACATTAAAAAAATATATTTTTATTTCGAAATACGAACCGTTCGTTGTTATCGATTGTTGTAATTTTTTGTGACTGTAATTTTCGTATGTGGTGTAATAAAAAAATTATTTTATACAAAAAAAAAGTAGTGCATCACTTCTCTATTATATTTGCACCTCTTAGGAGAACTCTTCCCGTTCCCGGAGAACGAGAGAGATTTCCGTCGCGGGACCGATGGAGGATTTTTAAGGGAAACGCGGGGGTTGAATTCAACCCTTATAACCCTCCAGGAACTGTTATTTATGCTCGGATGGGGGCGCCCTCTCGGAACGATAATATGCAAAATAGGTTTCGGGACGTCCTCGCGTAAATATCCTCTCCCGCATGTAATTGTGGCTTTAATCAACTCGGAATTCCGGTGATGGATTATTTTTAATTTCATCGACGGGCGAAAGAGAGAGGATTTATCGAAATTAATACCGGACAATTAGAGGCGAATCGTTTGCGATGAAGGGTTCATTGAAAAAAAAAATGTATGACTTTGTATGAGGGAATAGGTAAATTTAAATAGCCAGGTCACTTGCGAGGGGTTTTGTAATGTTCAAGAGTAGATGATAAAGTGTAGAGAATAGTGCGTAGAGAAGGTAAAGAGTATAAATTAGAGAAAAATGAGTAAGAGTGTAGTGAGTATAAAGACTAGAGAGGAGAGAGTAGTGTGTAGAGAATAGTTACTTAGAGTGTAGAGAGTATAGAGAAAAGAGTAGTGAGTATAAAGACTAGAGAGTAGAAAGTAGTGAATATAAAGACTAGAGATTGAAGAGTAGGGAGTAGAAAATAGTGTATAGAGGGTAGAGAGTATTAATTGGAGTGAAGTGAGTAAGAGAGTAGTGAGTATAAAGACTAGAGATGTAAAGAGTAACGTGGGGAATTCCTGCGTGGGATTGTTGCATCATGCAGTTGCAAAATTCCATTATTTATACTTTTTTGCTTCGAAAACTTCGAAATTTCCTTTTGAAGAATCCGGCTGTAACTTACAAAAATACATATCAAACCGCTTGTTTATTCTTCGCATCATAAAATTCCCTTATCAAACTGTTTGTTCCTCTTACATATATTATATCAACACGCTTATATACCTACTATAGAATCAAAATTAAATCGTCACTAAAACCATTGTTCGTCATCTACATTATCACTTTTTATATTTCGTATAATTGTAATGTAAAAAAAAGGGGAGGCGAGTTCGTTCCTCGGGGCCTGGATATACAGGGTGTTTCTTTGAGATTTCTCCAAGAGAGAGAAGTTGATTTCTCAAAAAAAATGTAATAGTATCAATAAAAAAATTGAAAAATAAATGCTGCATTTTGCGTTCATAATTTTGCCTTAATACTTTACTATAGCAAATGTTACACCAAAACAATGCATAAAACAAAAAAAAAAAAACCACCCAAGCTTTCATTGCAGTAAATTTTGAACATCTTGTATGAGTAATTGAACTGTTTTAAACTATTATTTGATTATCTCGATTTCTGTAAGACTTATTACATTTTTTTGTGGGAAATTAACTTCTCTCGTAACAGCGCATACGTGATTAATATTTGTCGGATAAATTGCGAAACACCCCGTATATAGAAAGAGCGGAGTTCCATTCCATTCTTGCGCTGCCGTCCCGGCAGAGCCGGAGAGAGGGCCCCCCGAGGCGGCGGTTACGAGGGCGGGAGAGCCGGCACGAGCGCGCGAGCGGCGGCGGCGGCGGCGGCGGCCCAGTGACAAGTGCCGCCCTCTCTCCTCTCCCCGCTCCCCGATCGGGGGTGGGCCCCCTCCTCCCAGGTCCCGTTTCCGGCGCCCGCCCGCCCGCCCTCCCACTCTCGCCGCCCCCCCCGACGGACAACTTTTTATGTTGTGTGCACTAAAGGGGATGGACGGCGGCGCTCCGGAGGGTTTAAAGCGATAGAGCAGAGCGGATAGAGCGAGATGTAGCTTTTTTTTGGGAAATCGTGTCGTCTTCGTCGTTCTATATCTGCATGAATGGAATTTTCTTTTTATTATACTCTACCTACTGTATTTTTATTTTTAGAACTGACTTTAAAAAGTATTAAATTGCTGTTAATAAAAGCCCACTTGAGTATAAGCGAATGGTTCCGAGAACTAGTAACTATAAATAAAATCATTTTGAATTCATATAACCTTATGCAATCGTTTCGAGTTAAGAGAATTCCAATTTCCAACGCGATTTTCTCGGAAAGTACTCGGACAATTTTTTTGAAACTTTCCCAAAATATCCTCTACTTTATCGCTAATTACTCGCCGCCAAGCAAATGTGGAGGAAAATCCTGTAGAAGCAGGAAAAACGACATCATAACCTTATGCAATCCTTTCGTTTTGCAATTGGAAATGCGGTTTGTATTAAATGAAAAAAATTCATTCATCGCGGGACCTTTTTATTTACGACTTATCGGAAAGTTTTCGGAAAGTTTTTCCATCAGTTTTCCGCGGCATTAAGTTCACCGGGACGTTGATTTCGTCCGACTTTTTCAACGGTTTTCCGATGCCGTTTTAACGGACGGGAAAGCGAAAAAAAAACAAGGAAAATAGAATAGGAAAAGTCCGCTTTTGTGCGAAGAAGTTCGCGAATCGAGGGAGAATTCGGAACGTGAATTAC